AAAAAAAAAAAAAAGCTGAAAAACCATTTTCCCACCAAAATCATGGGAAAATGAATTCCTCAAAAACCAATAATTAGGCACATGTGGGGTATAAGGTGGAAATTGAATTGCTAAAAACATTTGACCAATAAAACATGGAATTTGGGTGGAAATGGAAATTTCTTTTCTATTTTCCACAAAACTTTTCCTCAATCAAACATGGCCTTAATGATTTAAAAGAGCAAATTAAAATCCCGTCTTTTAATTTAAAATCCATAGATTTCTAAGGCCTATAGGTCATGAGAAACATTCTTGTCCAAAACTAGTTTGAAAATATTCTTTAATCTTACTCTTTAAAATAAAATATTTGTCTTAAAAGTCAAAAAATAATTTATTCAACATGTTTTGAAAATAAAAAAATTTACTTTCGAAATTAGCGAAACAAACTCTTAAAAACCACACGAACAAAATATATCGATATATGTGCACCATAAATTTTTCCCTTGTGTTTGTAACCCCAATGGGGATGAATAACATTACTCAAATACAATAGAAAAGAGTGGAAAAGATTATTAAAAGCGTAATATTATTACTATTTTAATACTGAACAATAAATTAAGGGGTCCATTATCACCAAAATCGATTGTCAATTTATTACTATTCAATCCCCGACATCTACCAATGTATCTTAAAGTTTATGTACCTTAATCTCACAAATTTACCCGCATTTTATCGTCTCAAAGTCATGACCAAGGATCTAGGTCACGATGACTTATGGTGGTTGGGGATAATTTGCATAACTAAATGATATTTGCTTGAGGTGATAGAAATTGTAAAATTAGCGGCGAATAAGTAGAATAAAAAGTCTAAAAGCCTAAAATTAAGTCGAAATTCAGAAGTGTAATGGATGGTACCAAACGCTTAACGATAACACGTAATTCATCAAGAAATTTACTGATGTTGGAATTTGTCCAAAGTTGTTTATTACAAAGATTTTGCAGGGATTGTTTGTCTCTAGTTTTTTATTACAAAGATCTTGCAAGGATTATTTATTTTCTCAAATTATTGATTACAACAACTTCGCTGCATATTTGTAAAATCAATCCATCATGTTTGACCAAAATCTTCTCCAACTTACCATATAAAAGATATTAATTGATCTCATTTAATTTTTACTGAAAGTTATTTTAATTTCCAACTCATTTCAGAATTGGCCTCCATTATAAATAAGAACCATCCCATCCCAACCAAAGTAACCCTACGACATTTCTATTGTTTAAATTCCTCAAAACCCTTAAAATGGCTGTGAATTCCCGTTCTTTACTCTTGGTTTTGACATTGTTGGTTGCCGTGTCCACTCTTTTTGAAGTATCGATCGCACTAGGTGGCCGAAAGGCTAAGGATCCCGACACCAAATTTAAGCCTTTGGACCCAAAAGATCCTAAGGTGGTGGAAGTGGCGGAGTACGCAATCAACGAATACAATAAAGAGGCTAAAACCAACTTGAAATTTGACCATGTTTTTCAGGCAGCATCGCAGGGCACAACTTACAATCTTATCATTGAGGCTAGTAATGGATCAGTCTTGGATAAGTATGATGCCGTGGTTTTATTGAATGGGGATGCTAAAACCCTCGCTGCCTTCAAAAAACAGTGAACTTTAAATTTTCGGTGATAGTAGATTGACAAATCAAAGAATTTCCATTAAAGCTTTATTATGTTATGTAATGGGAAATCAATTTTGTCACGTTATTGGGCAACCATGTTATAAAGCAAATATTATTATTAACATAAATAATAATAATAATTATTATTGTTGTTGTTGTTGTTGTTGTTGCTGCTGTTGCTCCTGTTGCTCCTGTTGCTGCTGATGTTGTCGTTTGCTAGAGAATCTGGACAGATGATTTCCTAGTAAATGTTATTATGGGAGCCATAATTAAATTTGTTTAAGAGAACCAATTGACACAATTCACGATTCTTACGTTGACTTCAAGTAATTACAACATTAGTTTAGTTAATGGGTGGATTAATTAGATTAATCTACTTAAGATGTTTTCTATTCAAAATCTGATTATTTTACATTCTAATAAGAGAGATATTTGCATTTTTCATCTTCAAACTTTGCAAAATGTAACAAATCTGACAACAATTCATCCACAGGCTTTCAATTATGTAGCAAAACTCGTCCTTCACTTCATTTTGACCATTACACGATGGATTTGTCTTCAATAAGCAAAAATAAAATAAAGTAGTTAAATTATAAAAAATAAGGAAAAGTTGGAAATAGAATCTCATAACTTCCTAAGAATTACAAAAAAAAAAATCCATTTAAAACAACTAAACATATGTTATTACATAAAAAAAAAAGAAAAAAAGAAAAAGAAAAATGGATATGTGACATCTCCCAAGCAAATAAATACGTATCAACAACAATTTGTCGCGTGAGGCTGCTGTTAGAGTAATGCTATTAATTTAGGAGTATGTTATTCATAAGCAATGCATACCAGTCATCTCTGTGGCATCAATTGATTTATCATCTTAAATCATATATTTAAGATGACAATTAAGATTATATGTCAATTAAAACTATTTAAATGTTACATCTCTTCTTATGAGTAAACAATGATGATGAATAACCTATTATTAATCTATATGATCATGTACTAACAATGAGAACAATGTCACATTATCAAACAGCAAAAATTAAAAACAATCATGTACATTCTTTCACGTGGCAAGATCTGCACTCTTGATTTTTAACTCATCCATCATATCACTGCACGGATTTCTCCACGTAGGGAAGGATGCCATTCTTGCTATCAACAAAGATGCACATCTAGTTTTAATTCTTAAAAAATGCATAAAATCGATGACAAATCATTATGTCATCATTACATGTTAAGTATTGTCATCCTTGGCAAAGATGATAAGCCCATAAATATTACCCCACAATTGTTGTAAGATACATCCATTTTTTCAAATGTAACATTAATATCATAGTTTTTATTCAATGACAGATGCATATATTTTGAGTTACGGGTACAATCAAACTTGCAAAAAGTTATGAAAAAAATTAAAATATTCGATATCTTATTGCAATTGTTCTTTATGTGTTCTCATACTTTAATAAAGTTTAATCTGAACATTTCTAGTGTCAACATCTCCAACATCAAGGTCATCCATTTCATTCCTAACATCCTCGTTGTTGACCACAAAAAATGGTTCTGACACGTGGCCAACAAAATAAGTCTTCACGTATGTTTCTCCTTGCGCACGGTAGCACACTGTTAGTCACTCGTAGCCTTTGCTGCGAACACTCGACAGTCAAGTCAGTATTTCAGTCAACCGTAAAGTGTTGCCCATCGATGAAATGGTCAACGGGACGTGGTTGAGAATATGTGTAAATCTAGTGAATGACTCTTTTTAGTTAAAAGACTAGAATGCAAAGATTAGAATGGTAACCCCTCCCTTATCATAGTGTGGGGTTATTTATACTAGAGAAAGAAATAGGAGAACCGATACATGGGGGGACACATGGCTTTAGATCCCGGATGTGTCATCATTTCATAAGCGTCAATCTATCAATCCATAAGTTGACGGACATTAAATAGCTTCTAGCATAGCAACATGATTGACCGTTTGTAGCCTACCACACATCCCATCAATCAGTCTAAGGACTTGACTTTGGAGAAATCTCCTCATTAAAGATCTTGGTAGGCTAGGGGAGGTAAATGTGGGACGTAGCGGAGTGCGGGCCTTTGAATATGTCGTTTATGGCGGATGCATTCCACTATTCTATGATGGAGCAGTAGCGTTTCAGTTCGGGGTATCAAATTCAGTTCATCCAATACAAATTCAGTTCGTCCGGTGCAAATTCAGTTCCTCCACCACGTGGCAGCGCAGAATTAAGTAGTGGAATACGTAGCGGATGACCAAGATAGACTAGGTGGAAGGCCTCTGAAGGCCCGTAACAACATCTCCTCAAGTCTGTATATGGATATTTATATAATGCATAGACTTTGTAGAGATGACCATGTTAGATCGTGTTATGAGATGTATGGGTTAGTTGTAGGAGGCGAAAAAGGTGGGCTAAATCGACGTCCTGGTTGACGGATAAAGCGTTGAGTATTGGGCAACTTTGAGAAAAGTTGCGGCAGAGGCAACATCCCGACTGAAGGACGAAGCCCTGAGTGATTGCAACGTTAAGGAAAGTTGTAAACACTTTACTGAATCACTTCACCTAGTAAATAGAATGAGTTTAAATACTTGCACCAAAATGAATAAATCAAATGAGGGTGTTAACATTTCGCTGAACCACTTCACTAGGGGAAGCGCACGCGCCTCTCCTGACGAAGTGGACATCCCTTACGGAGGTGGCCCCGCAGGGCGTCACGCACCTCGGCTAAGGGCCTTTTTTGGCGGGGGTTCATTTAAAAATGGTCAGGTCAAATGAGAGAAATTCCACATTGACTTTTCAACAAATCAATAATTTCAAAATAGCCTAAGGGTGTTCAAAAGAAAAAAATTTCCTTAAGTGAATAAAACAATTACAAAATATGATTTTGTTAAAAAGACAATACTACCATTTTAGTTAACAAATAAAAACCAAACACACCCTACATAAAAATACAGAATCAACTCAAATACAGATAAAAACTCTCTCAACTTTTTCACTCTGAAAGTCTCAAAAATATCCATAGTTGAAGAAAAAATTACTTTCTATCAATTATTTCGAATCGGTAAGTATAAATACGTATGTTTAATTTCGTTTTCATTAAATGTGTATATGTTTTTACTCGTTAAATTAAGATTCGACATAAGTTGTTGGCAAATATTTTTTTAGCAGGTCTATAATTTTTTTAATCATGAACTAAAAAAAAATTCATCTACACAACTTTTCGATTGGTTCGCCTTCTGTTACGAAAAAAGAAAAGGACAATCGGCTGTTAACAGTGAAATTTTTCGGCTGTTAACGGCGGAACATTTCGGCTGTTTAAAATTCTCGGCTATAATTCAGCTGTTAAACTGACTGTTTTGTTTTTAATAAGTTTATGTTTCCATTGTAAGCTAAATTTTTGAATGAATGTTTACAAATTCTATTTTGCCATGCACAGATATGAGGATTATACTCCTAATTTGTTATTTTGGTAATTTTAAATTGGATGAAAATAATCGATGGGTATAGAAATGGACGAATAACATACCCTCTAGTATGGCAACACATATAACAGAAACTACATCGTATTCGGAACTATACCATTACATACAGAACAAGCCGAACGTCGATTCATCTCGATACAATATGGTACCGAGATATCAATTAAGAGAGAATTTTCCATATTCTATTCCACTTTTAAATGTTACATCTGATATTGAAGTGAATTATCTGTTTGAGTTGAAAAAAAAGCAAGTGACACCAATTTACGTGAGTTTAGTGATGTAGGACGACGCGGAAGGTAGAAATGAATGTTTGAGTTGAACAAAGCACAAGCAACACCGATTTAGTGAGGAAGGACGATGCAAAAGGTAGAAATGAACATTCAGATAAAATTGATGATAATGCAAATGATTTTTGGGATACAGTGGAGATTACTCGCAATGATGATGCTAATATTCCCGAGACAATTGTTCATCATCGTAACATCACTACGACTTATATAATTCAATCGGTAGTTCAGAACAGCGATAATACAAATGAATTTACAAATTATGAATTAATTGCTTCATCCCGTCAAAGACATGAACAGGGTGGGAGCTCAGGGGTCGGAACGAGCAGACCTTTATCTAATTCTTCACGTGTGGTTCCCGATGATGAAGATCTGCATGTTGAGCAACTATTTGATACAAAGAAAGATTTGCAGGAAGCTGTGCACCTGCTGGCATTGAAATTCAACTTTGAGTTCAAGGTAAAGAAATCAAACAAATCCTTGCTGACACTTGTTTGCGTCGACGACAGTTGCCGTTGGCGGTTGCCAACGACTAAGATAGGTACGAATGAGAATTTTGTAGTTCTCAAGTATAAACGAGGACATACTAATGAGAACAATGTCACATTATCAAATAGTAAAAAAAAAACAATCATGCTACACGTACAATTTTTTTTACATCTTTCTTTACATTCTTTCACGTGGCAAGATCTACACTCTTGATTTTTAACTCATTCATCATATCACTGCACGGATTTCTCCACGTAGGGAAGGATGCCATTCTTGTTATCAACAAAGATGCACATCTAGTTTTAATTCTTAAAAAATGCATAAAATCGAAGACAAATCATTATGTCATCATTACATGTTAAGTATTTTCATCCTTTGCAAAGATGATAAGCCCATAAATATTACCCCACAATTGTTGTAAGATACATCCATTTTTTCAAATGTAATATTAATATCATAGTTTTTATTCGATGACGGATGCATATATTTTGAGTTACGGGTACAATCAAACTTGCAAAAAGTTGTGAGAAAAATTAAAATATTCGATATCTTGTTGCAATTGTTCTCTATGTGTTCTCATACTTTAATAAAGTTTTAATCTGAACATTTCTAGTGTCAACATCTCCAACATCAAGGTCATCCATTTCATTCCTAACATCCTCGTTGTTGACCACGAAAAATGGTTCTGACACGTGACCAACAGAATAAGTCTTCACGTATG